GAATAGCCAAAACACTGAATGATGTTGATGGAGAAGGGAAGTTTAAGTAGAACTTGAAGGACAAAATGGAAGACTTTGTGACAGCTGTAAGAAATCATTAAGTCCTATTCCTTTTCATAACTCTAAAGAGAAGGAAAGGTCTGGAAATTCGATGATAATGATGACATGATTGATATTAGGTCAAATTAAATCTTGTACATGACTTTTCAATATTTGAGAATTGAATACTGAGTATATCTGGGTGCTACACTCAATTTCCCTCCAAATCAATGGTACCAAGAAGAGATTGAGTTTATCCTCCATGTTTTAAAAACATGCTGACACTGCAGGGGAACATAAAAGAAGGACCATGAGCCCAGTAGTATCAAGTTGGTTTCATCTTGTGAGTGTCTGTTTTTTCCCTAAATTGTTAAATCTTAATCACCAAGACAAAGACCTTGCCAGTCTTCAGAAGATTTATTTCAACTGGCTAATCCCAAATAAGAAAAGAAAAACAAACAAACAAACAAACAATGGTTTTTTTAACCCTCTACCATTACCTGATTGATGTGATAGAAGAAAATATCCTATAGTTACTATATGACATTTTCTAGGACAGCATTTTTATGAGAAACATTCAGCTGGTAGGCTTATAAAAAGTACTGATGAGAGAAATCTGTGCATGGCATAAAGACATGTGTCTTCATAAATCTGTAAGTATAAGTATCTTTGAATAGTAATCAAGTCAGCAGTGTACATTCAAAATGAGCGTAGAAATAAGATCTTGCATTCATATCTCTAAATCTAAGTTTGATCAGTCTTATAATACAGCTATGTAGGCATTAATTTTTTTAGAAGTTTAGGGCCTCCCTAATGGCGTAGGGGTTAAGTCTTAGCACGATCTGTGCTAAGGAGGCCTGAGTAGATCCCCAACCAGGGAGCTAACCTACATAAGGCACAGCAGATCTCTCCTGTCTCACCTGCTGCTCCCATTAGCAGTGTATTTCAATAAATCCACCTGTCTGCTCCCCACTCTGTCTCTGGTAAATCCTTTCCCAAATCTCTGACCTATACCCCAGTTCTTCTACAGAAAAAAAAAAAAAAATTAAAAAGAAAATTTTAGAAATTTGCCTTCACAAGTACAAACACTTATTTTAGTATTTTATTGAGGAGACACTTCCTGAGTGTCTATTATATATTTTTTTAAAGATTTATTTATTTATTTATACAGGCACTGGGTATAGTCAGAAGCGCAGGAGGGTGAGAGAATTCACCAGAGCCAGAGCGGGGAACAGAACAGGCCGACTGACGAATTACACTGCTGAGGGGAGCAGCAGGCACAACAGGAGAGGTCTGTCGCACCATGTGGGACCCTCGCCGGTGGGGTGGCCAGGGATCAAACCAGCACTGCAGAGGCTGCAGGCAGCTTCTCAGCCCAGTGCTCAAATGCTGTGCCACCACAGGAGGCCCTATTATATTTTAAATGTCGTATCTATGCTAACTAAAAATTTAGTAGCACTGAAGGAGAAATACAATATGTATTCAAGTCATTATAGAAAAAAGGAATTTCATCTTTAGTGTCATAAGTTTAGTTCTGTGATTTTTTAAACAGATTCAAAAATTCAGGAGGTCATGAGCAAGGCCAAACATGCATACTTTTAAAAACCTTAACTTCTCTGCCTGCTCTTAAAATATAGGCATTCCTCTGAATTCTTAACTAGGCCTCCTTTCTTCTCACTGTAAAAGTTGTCTTTTACATTCATGTTTAGAGTTGTAAGAACGGACATATAAATGTTCTGAGAAACAGTGTATAAATAATGATAGGGCTTACGGCTACCTAGAGAGTCCATTCAAATTCAATTTCAAAATAGTCCACATTTCAGTTTATAAAAGAGATTTTTTATCCAAACAAAATAAGCAGTTGACCATACATGACCAATACTTCAATAGTGCCTATTTTATAGACTCTTTAGATATCTCATTCCCTCCACACTGATTTGATTGGTGTCTATATTTTCTAATAATATTATAATTATTATTATTATCATTAGAAATATTATTCACATAATATTATCATGCTAATTAGTCAACACTCAGTTATTGGCACTTATTATCTATTAAGTTCCATACATACATTGAACATAAGAAAGATCAAGATTGATAAGATTTCTGTATTTATGGAGTTTGAGACCTAATGATGTCAGATAATAAATAAATAAAAAAGTAGTTAAATAAATCATTGCAAATCAAAATATTTATTATGAAGAGAATGAAGGTAATGAAATAGAAGAGTAAAATAAAGATGACAATTAGGAAATTTGGTAAAAATAAAACAGACTGAGATAAAATATATATGAAAAGTAGCTATGTGAATACTTAGGGATTAAGATTTAGTCAAACTTTCGAGTCACAGAAATCTGTGATAGGAGAAAGAGATTGGTTATTTTGAAAACTATGTGGAAAACTGAAGTTTTAAAAATGTAGTGAATGAGAAGGAAAATGGAATAACTTGGAGGTGTCAGGTGTTATATTGTCCAAGATATACTAGAAAGCCAATGAATGTATAACCACTATTCCATGCTCTGTGGGAACTCCTTCTTTGCCTTCTGATAATAGCTTGGTTCTCTAGAGTTGAAACAAAACCTTATTTTCAGATATTAAAAACTTGCAATAATAAAAAACTCCATTCTTACACCCAATTGATTGCTCTTTTCATCTCATTCCCAGGAGAAATTAGGCTGTTTGCAGCTATTTGAGATGCTGCAGTGAAAAGCAGAGTATGATAAGCAAAATACTAAGATGGGACTTCAATATTCCAGTCCCTGGTTGTTCACCAAACATTAATCTAGATGCTGTTATGAGACAATTTACAAATATAATTCAAGTCTAAACTCAGTAAATTTTATGATAGGGAGATTATCCATGTGGGTCTGACTTAATTACAGGAGACTTTTAAAATTTTCTGTGTCTGGTTGCAGAACAGAAAATTAGAGATTTGAAGCATAAGGGGCATCCAGTGTGCCATTGATGGATGGAAGACAGAAAAGGGTGAATAAAAGAACTTGAGATTTACCTCTAGGATTAAGAGCAACACCAATCATCAACTAGCAAGGAAACAGGAGTGGCAGTCCTACAACAGAAAGAAAATGAATTCTTGAAACAAGAATTAACTGGGCCAATAATTCTGTCTCACTAACTCCCTTATTTCAGACGTTTGATACCCTAACCAAAGAACAAAGCCATTTATTGTCAGACTTTTGACCCACAATACTGTAAGCTAATAAATAGGTGTTACCTTAAGCTGTTACATTTTTAGTAAATTGTTATATATCAAAAGAAAATAGGGACAATGGTTTTCATCTCCTTGTTTTTTTTTTTTTTTCTATATGCCTCCTCAGGCTCCTCTAGGTACTAGGCTACAAATTAAGGTGTTTAGGAAAGTTGATAGGAAAGATGAGGTCTTTATAAAATGACCCTAATAGAGTTGCCTTTCCAGCCTCATCAGAAACCAGATTATTATTTTATTGCTATATGGTGATGAAACATCCTGACTTCTGACTGACTTAGATAAGAAATAGGCATCATACTCTATGATGAATATTACAGACTCCAAAAGTTATATGCCACTTTTTCCCAGGAATTTTATTTTTTTTTTATTCTCAGTTGCATAATGGATATAATAAAATAAAGGCTGTTTTTGTTTCTCAGAATCACTTTAAATTTCTGTGAGTGATTTGGGTCCCCCTCATATTACCAGAAAATAGGGCATAACCCACCCTTTGTCATGAAAAAAAGGAGAAAAAGATCAGGATTTATTCTACATTCATATGAATTTCTGTTAACCTCTAGCTTTCTTAACCATAGGCTGTAGTTATGTGACAAATGGAAATATTCTAAAGATCAATTGAGTAACTCTTACTATCTCACAGGGACATTGCTAGACAACCTCTATAGATTGTTGGGATATTTGCCACCTATTGTTCTTAGATTTGGAGATTCAGTTGTGAGTTGACTAAATTTGTCATTTAAAATCCCATTACAACTTATTTTTCCTGAGAAAGTAATATGATCTAATTTATATTTTCTAAGCATCACTCTACCCAGTGGAAAATAAGTTGCAGGAAGTTAAAACTAAATGTGCAACACAAGTTACATGACCCAATGGGTAATTTAGACTTTGCTATTTAATGAGTGATCCATGGTCTAGTAGAATTAATATCACCTGGGGATTTATAAGAAGTAAATCTCTGAAAAGCAGAGCATTTTAACCAAAAACCCAGGTAATTTATATGCTTCTGAGAAATTGTGAAGGAGTTGTCTAGGTGAAACATAATGGAAACTTTAGCTAGGGTGATGGGTGTAGAAGGGAACAGATAAACAATAAATATTTCTAAGGTAGAATTTTCCGGGGACTTAAATATGAGGAATGAAGAAAAAGGAGGAAATCAAGAATGATGACCTTAGCTTCTAGCTTGAGAAACATAATAGTTTATTACATTTGGGAGAGACAAAAATGCTTGGTATTAAGGAAGGACAAGGGTTTCCATTTAGTCACCTCAAGTAAAAATTGTTAAGAAAATGTCTTAATTGTCATACTTGACTCATGCCAACATCCTATTGCTATCATTCCATTTACCTTTCTGTTCCATTCTAACTTCATTGAGTTAAGAATGATAATTAATCTGACAAAACAATCCTGAGTATACTATTTCTATGGCTTACCTATATTTAAAAAAAAATGTTACAAGGTCACTTCCACCAGAAGTTTCATTTTATTTTTTAGATTTTTTTCCAAATCTATTCTGATAGTCATAATTTAATTAATGATCTTTCCTCTGTTGCTTCTATATTCTGTGAGGTAAAATTATTGTGCTAAGATAAAACTGTTTAAGATACTCATTTTATAGAGTATTAGAATTTAAAAAAAAATAAAATGCTTATTCAGAAAAAGGAAAGAAAAAACAAACATATACTTAAGTATCACTTCTGTGACTAACATAATCTTCATTTTCTTTTGTCAGGCTTACAAAATCAATGACAAGAATACAAAATCAGTCCTCCTTCTGAAAGGGTTAGTAGGTTATTTGTGAATATCCATTGGTAGATCTTGGTAATCTTCTCTAATTAAACTATATCACACTGTACATCTTTTAAATTGTTATATGTTTTCTGGTTTCCTGGTCAACAAAAAAGAGATACTGATCTACACCTAAAGAACTAAAGAACACAATGCATTACCATTGCTGGGGAATGTCATTGGTAATAAATCCCAAGGCAGCATGAGATTTTATGATTTCCTTGGTGGCTATGGGAAAATTAAAAAAGTGATACTCTAAGGTGGACTACAGGAAGGTTACGGGATGCTATCTAAAGCTCCTTTTGAGGTGCACTATTTTATTAATAATCCCATGCATTTAATGAGTTTTCTTCTGTGGGGTTTGTTTCTTGTTTTGAACTAATTTAAGAAAACATTGGAAAAACTGACACAAATAACATGGCTAGTCACTTAAAAAATTAAAAGCATTCAAAAATAAAAATACAATTTTTAAGCCTAGTGCTAAATATTATAATAACTTACATTTATAGGGACTTTTTATATTAAAATTTATAGATGAATAAACAAAGATTTGGAGAAACTAAATTACTTGCCCAAGGTCATTACATTTAATGAGGAACAAAGCTGAAATTTAAACTCAGGAGTGTTTCCTGAGCTGTATTCTTCACCTAATGCTATAACTGATTCAGCTGGATAATGCAAGAAACACATACAGTATACAAATCAGGTATATGATCATTTCACCGATGTCACAAAAATTTATTTTCTCTTTTTGAAATGTTTAGAGTAATTTGCATGTCACATTAGATAAATTTCCATGATTATATGTCTATCAATCTCTCTTTAGCAAGAAACATGTAAACACATACAGTTTGCATGCTTTGAAATTATATAAATGAGCATCTTTGATCATGATTTAATGATTATAAATAATACTTATATAGCCACTTCCTTGGAGTTTTATTTCTTGATTAGATGCAATAAAAATCTTTGCAAATATTTTTGCTGAATAACTTCTACATGGTAATTTGTTGGGGCTGGGATCACAGTGAGAAGATAGAATAGTATCCAATAGAGTTTCCGCAATTAAAAAAATCACATTAATTACATTCAGTTTACTAGAACTCCAAGGGGAGCCAAGTATAGACTGGCTAGGGTGTCATATATTATTGATATTAAGTAAATCTATTTCCCAAAATATCTGCTAAGCTTGAGGTAATAGTTTCCTCCTCTACATCTAAGTTTACGGTGCTTCTCAGTGAGGTCTGTGTTAGTGCCTTCAGTGGAAAATTCCTCATTGTGCTTAGCTCTCATACATATTGCAGGACACTTAGCATTTATGTCCCCTGGTCATTTCAAGCCAGTAATACCTAAAACTGCCCTCCACATTCCAAATGACCCTCATTGAAAACAATCAAAAGGAATTTGATTGTTTTTCAATAAACCAACTTGAGCACTCAATAAGAGACATTTAAAAAAGGAAAAAAAGTCCTATCATGTATAATGGAGGAAAAAAGTGAAAAGAAGCAGATAATACCTCTTGTGGAGAAAGGCACTCATGGTCCAGATATTTCCCCAGAAAATGGATGCGGTGGGATAGATACAATATATTAATGACCACTCTTTGACCATGGCTTGATGATTGTAATTTCCTCTTTTTCTAGTAGTGTGTTCTTTCAAGTGAATATCATGAAAAGGGTATATTGTCTCGGAGCATCATCTACATAAACAAATTGTGTAAAACAGTGTTTCAACTTTTTGTCAAGGCTTCAGTTCTATGCTAGCCCTATTAGTGTGTCTTTTTCTAGCACATAGTTTTGTCTATCACAGCTAAGTCTCAGGTCACTCTGCTAGCATTTAGTGGTTAACTCATACTGACTGCCTTCCCCTAAATATATAGAGCATAGTAGCACTTTGAGATGCACTTTGAGTACCTTGAGATGCTCAAAATACAATATTTACATTTCTATTATGAGAAGCATAAACTATCTCTAATTCAATGTCTATTTAAAGCCAAAGACTTAAAACAACTCAATTTAATCTAAACTTAAGCATATTCAGTGGTATTCACAACAGAACTTTCCTAATCTGAAATTATCATGTACAGAACACTTAATACAATAATCATTTATATAGATTATTAACCATGGGTCAGTATATCAAATTTTCTTCTGTGATCTTGAAATGTTATTAGAAGTTACTTATTTCTTAACTTTGTATAGCTTGTAAATTCTCCATAATCTGGAACTGTGCTTTATTCTTCCTGTGTTACCCACAGCCCTTGGAACAGGACCAAGAAAATGAGTGTTTTCTCTCTCTCTCTCTCTCTCTCTCTATATATATATATATATATATATATAATTTGAAATATTTGTATTTCCCTTCAGCTCTTGGACCTGCAAGATATGTAAGAATTATCTTCTGTGAAACATCTTTTTCATTTATCGAAAGCCAATTGTTAAGACATCTATACTCTATGTCAATAAGATGTACACCATTATGATTCACCAGCTAGCTTCATTACTAGCTTTGGCATTATTAACTTTTTTTTTAACAGATTAACAGATAAAGTAATAAGTATTCTCAACTATATTGCCTGTAGGAACTGTTGTTATTGAGGGCAAAAGAGAAGAGAGTTTATACATTTCCAAGAAATATTAATAATTAAAGATTCCCTTAAATTAGAGTCACCTTGCAGCTGAAGACACATCTTTAAAAAAAGTATTTGTCATGACTTCTGCTTGAAGCTTTGTGATGCACCTTCATCACATCTGCTGTGCCAGTTCAAGGTGTTTAAGATGGCACATCATCATTCTTCAATTACAAATTATTCAGTTAAACTACTGATCATGATAATGCCAACAAAACTTATTTTGTTTCTCATATATAAATTACAAGTGAATCTGAAAATACTTTAGAAACTGCTTTTATAAAAGCATCATTAATTTATATGAGGTGTAATTTTTGGTAATATGACTCATTTAATTTTTAAATAAGGAAAGTGATGTCCTGAATATCGAGTAAATAAAGAGATATTTATTTTACTGGCTATGAGCCATGCCTTAAGCAAAATGTGAACATGCTAAAAAGGCCAAAGGGAACAGGTGGCCATTATGAAAACATACACCTCAGTACTCATTTCATCTACTTGAGCTTGTCTCTCGTTCCCTTGTCACATTCTCAACCAATTTGCCATATCACTGTCAAAGCTACCCCTGTCTTGTGTCATATTTGCTCAGAGTCTTTCTATCTTTAGAAACTAACTAAATAATTAATATTTTCTACTGATTTCACACACACAAAAATCTCAATCCAGGAACTGTCTCTATTTTTTAAGAGAGGATTAATGAAAATCTTTCCCTTCCTTTTTAAATTTTGGGGATCACTAAGTCCCCCATCTAAAGAAGTGGCAAGAAATAGTTTTCTATCCACAATTACCAGGTTTTCTTGTCATCTGAATGCACTGCCATGATTCAACATACTGGATGGGAAATTTGTATCAGAAGAAGGAAAACCATTGCTATGCTAACTTAGAATGACACTGTGCTCAGTTTGCCTCAAACTAGAGTGACCAACTAACACAGTTTCTATTTCTTGAATAATCTGAATATGAAGTAGAGAGAGAGCATCATAATAGTAAACAATAGAAAGAAACAGCTACAGAGGCAGAAAAGTAGAAAAAAAGTGAGAGTGAGTTATTATACTACTAAACACTATTAGATGCTCTCTGCTGAAAGCCAAGCTCACTAGTACCCTAAGGCTGATATTGGTGCTCCAGAACCATGGCTGCATCCTGAATGATCCAAAATGTATTGATACATTTTTTTTAAGACACTTTCTTGGGTTCTCTGTTTCTCATGTAGCTTTACAACAAACTGCCTTTCTATGAGGTAACTTCTGCATCACTTTTCCATTATTATCTGTAAAATCTCAGCTAATAAAATTCCTGCATTTGTGTCTGCCACTATTACACAGGTTTTTATAACATTATATTTGCAAATGCATGTGATTTCATACCAGAGTTCCCAAGATCCTAACTGGATGACTCTGGTAGCCTCCACTCATTTCATCTACTTCAGATACCCTCTAACTTATAGTTCCAGAGTCCTGGTGTTTTGGTTTGAGATTTGTGCTTGTTTGTTTTAATTTAAGTATCCTAATGCACAATTATAGGAACATTGCTTCTATTGAATGCTGCTTTTATCTTTATGGTTGTTTCTAAATATTTGATTTGTTTGAATAAAATTGAGTATTCTTTTGAGGACTATATTATTTGATCTTTACTTCCCTTGGAGGCAGATACTTTTTATTCTTCACCTGTATGCCCTTGCCCTTGCCTTGACAGAGGGCCTTCTCCAGTATCAGGAGTGTGTCCAGTCCCTCACAGGATGAGGAAATACAGGAAACAACATACCCCGGAGCAGCTCTCAACCAATGATGGATGAGATGTAGAAAATAGATACACCAACTTATGGACCCTTAGGCAGAATAATTTTGCCTTTAATCAGACACACACAAACACACACACACACACACACACACACACCACTTTCCTACTGGCAACAAGTCCTAGTTGCTGAAAGTGATATTTTACTTATTAATATCCTGTTTTCATTTTCTTATCTTTTTTTTCTTCTTTCCCCATTAGGTGTTGACACAAGAGGTTAGGTATAGGATGAGTGAAGCATGTGCATGCCTGGAGAAATAATATCTCCAAAGTTATATTGACATGAAAATGATTGGCAAATTTAATTTTAAAAATTATAATAATTATATACTATTTGCTCCTATACTCCTATTTGCTGAGGAGAGCAGCGAGCGAGTCAGGAGAGGTCTGCTGCGCCATGTGGGTAGCTCCCTGGCCAGGATTGAACTCGTGCTGCAGCGGCTACAGATAGCTTCATAGGTTGTGTCTTAACACCTTGCACCACCAGGGAGGCCCCTATTTATTGACATTTAGTTGTTACCAATCTTTTTGAATATTTAAGTAATTTGTCATGAATAGTTTATACAAGTTTATGCTTTTTTTGGGGGGGTGATTCAAATGTAAGCTCTTATTTATCTTGGGTAATACCTAGGAGAGGAATAGCTAGATTGTATGTTAGTTGCTTGTTTTTGAGCCAAATTTCTTTAAGAAGTTGCCAACTGTTTTCCAAAGTGATTGTACCATATAATTTTCTAAACATCAATATAGAAGAATCCCATTTCT